GTTTTTATCTGTAAGGAAAAAGGTGTTATTCATAAACATCGATTAAACCTATAAGATGTAAGCACAGTACTTATGTTATGATTCTGAAAATGGAACGTTTCTCTTATCCACCAACAACAGTCTTTTGGAACCATACATACTGCATGGATTTGACTATAGGCATTTGAGGATTCGAGTATTACACTCGTCAAATAAAACTTAAGGTATAAAACTAGGGCTATCTACTAAAAAGCCTACGTAGTACTAGGTCTTGCTGAAAAAATCCCACTTACTGAGATTGATGAAGTTTTTTCGTATATGATTTCTTCGTAGATGTCTATTTTCCTGCAGTCGTACGTTTAAGGAATGTGCGGAAAAGAGGATACTAGCACTTGGTGAAGTCAAATGAATTTTTCTCACCAGGGGACTCAAAAGTTCAGTATGGTCCGAGTTAGTTTTAGGGGTTTAGAGTTTTATTTAATTGAATTTCAGATTTTCCCATCGATTGATTGGACAGTAGTGCTCGACGGGAAAATCTAAAATTCAATGAAATATTTAATATGACCCGTCGCACATGAGGCAGCTCTCGTGGCCTAAATGGTTTAGTAGATAACGCTTCAGCGTTTGAAACTATGGGCACTGGGTCCGAGCCTCGGTGGGTGCATCATCGCTCACTGGCGAATACAGGCGCATTCAGATGACGATTCCTAAATACGACGGAATGCGCATTCTGAGTTTCACTGCTAGTCACCATCCAATTAGTTTCAAGTTTTAGTTGTCAAATTTCATCCTGAGTACTTGAGATAAACAAAAAATTTCAAATTACCGTATAACAAAATTATTCAATGATATATTGTGAATTTAGTGAAAATAACCCCTCCCAGGAGTTACCACTCAGTAAATTTGGTTGACATTTAACGAATGTCAGTACTCAAAACTACTTTTATGGTCCTATGAAGAGAAATAACGTATGTTTTATCTGTTCTATGAGAAAGCTAGACGTATTTGAGCAGTAATTAGCTTAACATCAGACATACATTTGCTTCATCATATTAAAAAAGTAGGAAAACATACCTGTCCAGTGCAGAGGCCAACAACGAGATCCGCAATGAAGTTGTCCTCTGTTTCACCTGAACGATGTGAAACCATAACACCCCAGCCTGCTTTTTGTGCCAACTTGCAAGCTTCGATAGACTCCGTGATTGAGCCTATTTGATTTACTTTTAGAAGAAGACAATTGCACGCCTTAGCTTCAATAGCTTTCTGAATTCGTTTTGGATTAGTGACTGTCAGATCATCTCCCACAATCTGAAAAGTGTAGGATAATGTCAAATAAAGCTTGAGGATTATAAAGAATTTTACTATTCTGAAAATGTTTTTGAAATTAGGACTTAAGAGATTTCATTACAAGTAAGATAAATGTCACCATGAGGCTAGGCAACAGCACCATACTAAATGGTGTATACACTTAGCGGAGGATATATATGGCACTTATTACTTACATCGGTTAGGACCTCCCCAACACGATGAGCCCGATTTCATTATTACTTACCTCAATGCATACGAAATTGAGTGTAGACGTCTACAGTTAAAAACCGCCGTCTTTCCTCAGCCCTTAGAGCAATGTCAGAGTTGTGAAGCAGGATAAAACAAATCACTACAAAGTAGAGAATGCCACACCCATCTTTAGTACCTCCCTGTTGAGATTGCGTCAGCAGCCAGTCATTAGGGCAGACGCAACTTCTTAAAAAGGTCAACTTATCAACACATGCAAGCCTTTCGTCTCTGATCTTCCCCAAACTGAGATTCGGAGCAGGTCAGTCCTGCATATGAGTGGCTTTTATGGCAAGTGTACTGAAGTTACTGCACAAACACAACAGTGAACAATAAGAGAAATGATGTGATAAAAATGACATTACTTGAATTTGGGTTGAAGCAGTCAATTTAGGCCAGGCTTCCCAGTCATCTTGATCAAATGGATCTTCAATGCTAACAATTGGGTATTTGTTAATCATTTCTTTGTAAACACCAGCCATTGCATCTGGGCTAAGCCAACTGCTTGGTTGAGACTGAGGGTTTTTGAAATCCAAGTCATATTTTCCATCTTTGTAGTATTCGGAAGCAGCACAGTCCATTCCGATTTCTACCTTTCCAGCGTACCCTGCAATCTTAATAGCTTCTTCAAGCAGTTGAAGACCTTGGGAAGAAAAGTTTTCGTAAGTGCAAACGTTACAGGGTTTACAGCAAACAGTATGCAAAGGATTTACGGGTTTGTGTACGGTCCCTAACACTCACATCCTGTAAAAGTTAAAAATAAACAACACTGCTTAAGATCTGGCAATTTGCCTGAAACCCGAAGGGAAACCACTTTCTTTCAGAAAGAGCCCATTAAACAGTTCTACGTACAGAAATATAATGAGCCAAAAAATTATCTTCAGCAAATATTTTTAAGTTGCACTGCTGTTAACATGATTCTTGTTTGCAAGTGGACGAACAACTCTATCTACTCAGCTCCACATTGACGTGATCAAACAGACAATGAAATAATTTCTTCAGATCAATAAACTAAACTGAGGTCGTCCCAGGAAGAAAAGAATATCAACGGCTAACCTAGTAACTGAAGTCCACAATCACCTGATACATAATGTACTTAATATTTTACACATTAAACTACCAGGAACTAGATCAAATTCACCATGTAATAATGTGCATACCTTTCATGTTGTCCTGGATATTCGGAGCGAAACCGCCTTCATCACCGACGTTGCACGCATCTAATCCATAATCACGTTTGATAACAGCTTTCAGATTGTGATACACCTCGGTACCAATTCGCATTGCCTCAGTGAAAGAGCTAGCGCCAGTAGGCAGGATCATAAATTCCTGCATGGCTAGCTTATTGCCCGCGTGACTACCACCATTTATCACATTAAATGCTGGGACTGGCATTATGACATCGCTATGACCAGCAAGTTTTGCAATATACCTGTATAGTGGTAAGCCCTAAAAAAAGAAAAAAACCAACTGGAAATTAGTGAGCATGGTACTTTGTTGTAATACAATACTGAACAGAAACTTCCAACTTCTAACTTAATTACCTCTGTCGTTAGTTTATATAAAAGCCAATTTTACTACACAGGTAATGTCAAAATCTTGCTTAAAAATCAAACCACATTTTACACATTTGCATAACTTACACACTCTGCTGCACCCGCTTTGCATACGGCTAAAGATACGCCCAAAATAGCATTAGCTCCAAGTTTTCCTGAAAAATAGAACATTTACTTGATGGAAATATTTTAGATTACTAGAACATCAAAAAATTAAGTAAACGAAGTGATAAGAACGCTTATGGACACATGTTTCTGCACAACAGGTTTGTTACACGTAACGGCCCAGAGACTTCCCATATCTAACTCCTAGCAACTACGGAAAATAGTCTAAGTAAGATGCATTTATGATTCTCCACACATTTATGTAAACAAAGTGAAAAATTTTTTAACTTATGTGCTTATGAAGTGTTGGCCTTTCATGGAAATGTTTTATGCGCTAGTTATCAAGTTACAAAGGTGTATGAAATAGGGAGGATCGGAAACAGGAATAATAATGTGTTAATAAAAGTGCTCAAGTTGCCGAAGATTCACGTTGGTGCGTCCATACACATTTCGTAGTTAAACAACACACTCTGTGAAACTGGCAGTGAACCACTGTTGGTATATCACCTCTCATCAGCGTACTGTAACATACATTCAATGGATCTTACTTTGCAAATTACTGGGGTTGGTGTTACCTCAAAGCGTAGAATTAGGTCTTCACCATTGTTACTGGTAACCTCACTCATGATGGAAAAATTCAACCACGGTCTTGAGTGAAATATAACCTCACTGAAGAAAGAAGAGCAGTCATACAATTGAGATTAAATCAACTTAAATTCCTGAGTCAATACTGTCGAGACTACAGTACTAGTGTAATTAGGCCTCAGTCACGGCAACTAGTTTAACAAATATATACAATCAGATCTTTCAAAGTCCACATTATGAATATGCTGACGGTACAAACCGCAGAACCCAGAGACAACCTAGCATTAAAAATAAGAGCAAATTTCACTGCAGTCTGAAGTTATTAGGCGAAAGAAAACAAGAGTCTACGGTCCCAAGAAAACATAATAGTGCAAAGTAAAACTGTATAATATCCAAAACCTTGAATTAACTTTTAGTGTACCAAGTCATATCACTAAACGACACTGCTCACATGAGCAGATGAAATTCCAGGTACAGCTCGCGCCAACTATATTCCTCAGTTTATACAAAATTAAATAAAGAATGGAAACAATATACCTACCTTTGTTTTCTGTACCATCCAGCTTTAGCATGTAATTATCGATAGTGGTTTGATCAGTCACGGGTATGTTTTCTTTCAGAAGTGCTGGGGCAATAATTTTATTCACATTATTAACAGCTGTCAGAACCCCTTTGCGCATATAAGCTTTCTCGCTAGTGTCACGCAACTCAAGAGCCTCATGAACACCAGTTGATGCTCCACTCGGAACGGCTGCGCGGAACAGACCTGTAAAATCATCATCAGACATCTTTTTAACGACCACGTATATGAACAACGGAAAGTTTAGACTTAAAAAATTGACCGTTATAATGCCACCGATAAAGGAGCATTTGATTTGATAGCATCGAAGTTCTTACACACATGATTAAATACAATGATATAGTGATTTAGATTCATATAATACACTAACATTCAACATACTTCCTACTTTAGTAAAGTTGACACCACAGGTCTCAGGAATGAGAAAACTATACTGAACACCCACCTTTATCTGTCTTCAAATCAACTTCAACTGTTGGATTTCCTCGACTATCGAAGATTTGACGAGCGTGAATACTTTTGATCGCCATTTTCTAAAGAGTAACACATGATTAGTTTAGTCTACAGGAGCAAATAAAAAGACAAGTTTCTAAGATATTATGTATTACACTAAATAAGTACTAGCAGGCAAAAGTATAAGTTCAATGTTCCTCTCTGTACACTTGAGGGTTAACAAAGTTATCCCAGTCACTACGATCAGTTAATTCCTTATCGACAATATCGATATACGGCTGTAGATAAGGAACGTCATTTTCTAAAGTCGTCCACTGTTCTTTGGGCAAAATAGTCTTTGATGCACTCAGAAGTGTGGCACGTGCAATCCGGAAGTCTCTGGCTTCAGTTTCTTCACGCGGGAGCCGACGAAGAGCCTCCAATAAAACAGGAGAATGTGGAAGCCAGTCGTGTTTGAGAAGACCAACTTGGTTGTAGTAACTATTGTTGAAATTGAACATTTTGATTTTTTTCTGAAGTCAGACATATGGCTAAGACGGGTACGGTAAGCAGACGCTGCAAGATCCATGGCAGATCGCAGAGTAGCCATTGTGGACTTCTGGTTCACCTGTAAAACAGACAGATATGGCAATCAGTATGTGCATAACGTAACCGTATCAAATATCATTGGGCAAAAGAACGTCTTAATATAATCAAAATAGTCAGTGTATAGGTTGAACCGCGAGGTGCGTCGGTGGCATAGCGGTTAGGACTGTCGCTGACCATGCACATGGTTCGGGTTCGACCCTCCGCCGCCACACACCTGATATCTATGGTCGGCCTGCAAAATTTGGGCTACCAATATCACATGCTGAAAATTGGATACTTGTACGAAAAATACGGTGTGGAATCAAGCTGTAATCAGAATAAATAAAATAATAATGGTACAGCTTTTTTAAAAATAAACCTGGACAGTAGACTAGCAGAAGTCAGTAGTCCTCAATGGTGATAAAAACTACCGATTTTAATTAGCTTCAGCCTTTCTAGTTCCACCACACATCAAAATCCCCACCTAAATAACCAATTAATATTTATTTGTGATGAATCATACGTATGTCAGCAGCTGCTGCCACATTACAGGGTGGAAGACCGAACTAGTGACTGCTTACTCCCTCTAAATTTAGACTGGCTATCAGACCCTTATTAAACTGTGACGGGACATATAGCTAAGGCCTATCAGTCCCACCAGCACTTTAATCAAGACACTGGAAAGAATTATCAAGAAAAGCATCATGGCTTATCTGGAAAATAGCAGTTTGTTATCTGGAGCACAGCATGGCTTCCGGAGGAACCTCATGCCTGTCAAATCTCCTGACTGCAAGAGAAATCTGGGTCAAATCAAAGGACAACAGAAGACCCGATGACGTCGTCTTCATTGACTTCAGCAAAGCCTTTGATAAAGTACCTCACAAAAGACTACTCATGAAATTGGAAAGTCTTGGTATCAAAGGCAGACTACTAGACCGGCTCAGGGAATTCCTTATAGATAGGAGGCAGAGGGTTAGGATCAACTCAAAACTCTCCTAGACAGCAGTAAGTAGCGGAGTGCCACAAGGCACGGTTCTCGGTCCTCTCCTTTTTATTCTGTATATCAATGAGTTACCTCTGCTCACCGACTCCCCTATGGTCCTATACGCAGATGACTTAAAAATTTGGAGAGAGCTGAAGAACAACAGTTGTACGTTCACGTTGCAAGAGGACCTCAACAAATTTTTGGAGTGGTCTGTTGAATGGATGCTCCCGATCAATGTGGCAAAATGTGCAACCATGCGCATTGGGCAATCAAGCACAAGCCCCTACGAATTAGAGGGAATAACACTTCCATCAATTTAGACTCACATGGACTTAGGTGCCATAGTTAGCCACGACTTAAAAACTACAGCACACTGTCGCACAGTGGCTGAACGTAGTTTCAGGTCCTTATGGGCGATTCGCAGAGCCTTTACAAGAATTACCAGAGATATGTTCACCTCCTTATACACATCTCTAGTTAGGTCAAGACTGGAAAAAACTGCATCCAGGCCGCCAGTCCTTGTCTAAAAGGGGATTCACACATTCTAGAAAGTGTTCAAAGGAAGGCAACACGTATGGTTCACGGCATGACTAACTTATCATACGAGGAAAGACTAGACGGTTTAAATCTCTTCTCCCTGTCATACCGTAGGCAGAGATTTAATCACAGTGTTTAAAATTTTAAATAATGACTACGGACCTGACGTATTTTCTCTTTTTCTTCCCACCAGGTCGGAACACCTTAGAGGACATAGCAGGAAAGTTCAAAAGCCAAGGAGAAATCATATTGCTGTTGAGTACTGGTTCTCACATCGAGTCTTGGAACCGACTCCCAGAAGAAGTGGTGTCTGCAACCTCAACTGATTCGTTCAAGAAGAGTTTGGACAACCGCAGAAATCTACTAGAAAAGGATTAACATGGGCTCCAAGCCTTCTATCCTCAACCAATAAATCTGAAATCTAAGTGCAAATTTTGCAATAAGTTATCTGCTTCCCGACATCTGTGATTTCCGTTCCGTCAACTATATACGTATGCAACCGGATAGCAATTTCAAGTGCTCGGACTGACTAAGTTATGGAAAACAGTGGTCTCTGACTACTCATCTTGAAAAGCTATTCATGGCCTCATCCCATACACAAAATTTCTATCATATAGTACAAAGGTTGATCCTTTTATAGCGGTTTTTTACTATATTAGAAGCTGTCAAACCAATATGTTCTCAGCCGATGATATCAACAAGAAAATATAACAAAATTGACGAACCCAACACCACACCAACTCATCTTCCCCACAAATACATACGTGACTTACTGGACGCCCTTGTGTACGAAATCAAGTGCAACGTCACGACGTAAAACAAATTCAGTTGTCAATATTAGTTTGATAATGAAAGAAAAGCCTCAAAATTTATTAGTAATAATCGATTTCTTTTGGTAACACTTAAGGTTGAATTTTTGTTTGTAAGCTTCTATTTTGCCTAGTGCAGTTCCAGTACATGTTGAAGCGGTTTTCAACGGCTTACATTACACCTTCTTTTCAATGACTTTTATAAACAACGTGTATAATTCAGCCCATCACATCTTACTTTCATATAAACCTTCTACATTTTCACTTTGATTACTTCATTGGAGGAGTCAGGTCCCGTTTCTACAACGGAATGTCTGAATTACTTATAGTAATTTCGCTGGGATTTATACAAATATGATTTATATTGATTTTCCACTCAGAGTCCTATTATTGTGGAACTATTAGGCCAAATCTTGGTCTTAGGTCGCATAAACCAGTGTGACTTAATCTTGAAAACTACGCGAAGATTTTTGAAGTTTAAAGAACTCATATTCTTGTGAGGCCCATGTATAAATGCAAATATAAAGTGCTCGATACAGAAATGAGTTTGTTACAGTAGTATAGTACAGTAGTAAGAATCCCTTATTAAACGTTGTAAAAAAAAGCAGAATTTACTTGTAACGGAAGTTCGATCTTATCAGAGGCTTAAACAAAACACGTTATCTTTCACTGTTTAAAAGTGGATTAATTCAGGAAAAGAAGTACGTAACGCATAGTTGTTAAAACAAGGCAGTTGCAACAGAACAGCTTCTTTTGTACTAGCGGTGTGATCTCCTTATCAACTGTTAATTCAACGGACTTTAGGCATTTAAAAAACTTCCTGTCAGCTGGTGGTTTATATCCTTTACTTATGTTATATACACAGAAGTCTGCCTCATGTTGTTGAATCATGCAACCGTAAATGCTAATCCTAAACTCAGTGACCTAGTACTCCCACAGAAAGTGCGACGTGATTGTAAGACACTCTGATATTAGTTATTACTTTGCTGGATTTCGAAGAGGAAATATGGCTCCAGCAATATATCTCAATTCCATATGTGGTGAGAGCAGCCTGCTAGCCTATTGGTTGACATTAATCTACGTCAATGTCTAGGTCACTAATATGGGCCGTGAGAAAATATGAACAAGGCTGTTTCAACAACCAATCACAGCGAACTTAAACGTGGGCAAATATGATTCGCAGATAAATGGCTCCACTTTACGAGGAACTCAAAAACAACCAATCAGAAGACTGTGTTTGTCTACTTGACTAGGATATAATAATGTATGTGAAATTTATATAAGTACGTGTTGATTTTCGTTATAAAACGATATGTTGCCTGGCCCTTGTCTTCTGTTGTTACACACACCATTCTGCAGTCTTAGATATCTTCACCACTGCTTGTATGATCCTGTCTCTTCCCAAGATTATAAATTCCTGTACGAAATGGGCAAAGGCTATAATGTCAGACCCTCTGCACCCCATTTACTCACACCTGTCCCCTTGTATCTCATCAGGTAGGACGAGAAGCCAATATAAAAAGATATATGCTCGTACCACTAAGTATAGAAAGTCTACAATACCCTATTTAGCCCGTACTTTATGTGACGAAGACTCTGTTAAACGTGAAACTTACAAGTTACTACGTAATTAGCACAGCAAATCGACCCTTTTATCGTTCATCTTTCTGTATTTCATGGTGTCACACTTCTATCGTTTAAATCGTTACTCTGCTATTTTATATTAGTTGGTATTACTATTATTACTACAATTTTTTACTTTATACGTATTTTTCTCCGTATGGCACACAGTATTTTGCTACGTAGCTGCCACAAAAATCGTTTTATTACTATTATGTATTGTGTATTTTTAATTTTTTTTTGTCGTTTTTGGGTAAATTAGATGCAATATTGTACTGAATGCTGAAAATTCCTTGCTGTATCATGAGTACTGTTTTTGGAATAAAGCAATTATTATTATTATTATTATTATTATTATTAAGATCTCATCTATATCAACCGCCAACTCATCTTTCCGCTCCAGGATTCCACTCAGAATTGTGGTACACAGTGTGTCTCAACGGTCTTTTTAGTGAATTTCCAATCCACCTCCACATCCTTCAGCAAATATGCAGTGGAACAAATTCTTTTTTGATTCGCTGCCCGGCAGGGATCGTTGTTCCTAATCTTCCCTTGCTCGTCACCTGATACTGTGTTGAGACTGCGTATGGAGGCGCTGTTTCAAGCCAGCAGCCTGTCAGATATGCCTATATGACGCACCAACTGGGTCTCCGAAACATTTAGACGCACTGACTTGACACTAGTATTATAAGTTAGGAGGCTATTACTTTCGTTAAGAGCAGACGATTTTAACAGTGATTTCAAAGAGATCAACGCATTCCACATCCTCATCTGTGCAACCTGTAGATGAAACGATGCTGAGCAGCTCAGGTAAGTGAAAGAGGTAACTCCCTCTAGATTTCTTTCGCTGGTGGCTGTTGATGCTTGTTCATGGTTTGGTACCTTTATCCTCTCTGCCTTCCCCATCTTCACTTGAAATCCCACCCTCTCTACCTCTTCCCCTAACTTGTTGACCTTTGTCTGTCTTTCTTCGAGTTTCTTT